GCCCTAGGAAGATTTTGAGGTGGTGCGAGATCTCATTGTGGTGTCATCCCGTAGAGACTAAATTGTACATAGAGATTAAATGCATTTTTCACATTATCATGCATTATCAACATTCTACGCGGTACTTACAGAGATTTGTAATGGAGGGTTAACTCTAAACATACAGTGAGTTGTTGACCTTTTAATCGCGATTAAAAGATTAATCGCGGGCCGTATGTTGGCCATGCCTGCCCTAACTCGATCTGCTCGTAAAAAATTATTCAATTCAGGATCCCCAAAGTGGCAGAATATATTTTATTGTAAGACAATTTCTATATAGTGAATGGTCGAAGTTGTTACGGCATCAGACTACCGTCTCGGAGATACGGGATACGGAAAAAACTACCGAAATTTTTCGAGGGGTTCTCCTGAATTGAGGAACGGGACTGATATGATGAAAAAAAAAAAGCCCAGGAAGCGGAAAGATCAAAAGTAAATGAATAAACCGCACAATCAATAAAAAAAAAACATTTTTTATACTGAAAGGAAATCATGTAAATCGTTCCTTTTCGGCAAAAAATACATTAATTTCTAAATTTATCTAGCAAATAATTATAATAAATTTTAAATTCTATTTTAATTTAATTTAAAAATAAATTATATTCGTTTATGACACTAGAGGGAGAGAAGGCGACGAATGGTTGTCACGTGGTTTGTTTATTTGATCTATTCTCCCAGTCGTGATCAATCGAAATGGATGAAATTGATTATATGTCCGATAACTTATTGAGTAATTGCAGGTAACTTACTATTTTCGAAACTGAACTTTACGTTTGATAAAACTATACATTCTTACCATTATTTACAATTTGTACACGAGGCATCAAGTATTCTTTAAATAAAAAGATTGTTAGCGCTTGATTCATAGACTTCAAAGCACCTTAACCAACTTTTTCCACTTAAAAAATTACAATACAGTTCGGTAAAATTGGAGTACTGAACGAGGCGTTTTATTTAGATTCTTATAGGTATAGTCTGTAGCTCTTATAATGTCTCAACCATCTCATTCAGAGCTGCATTCGTACAGTACATACTTTATGGCTCTTTACAAAACCATTCTTTTAGAATGAATGGTTTTGTAAAGAACCAAATTATCTATATCAGAGTCTAACTCTGATACAGATAATTATAAATAAAATACACTTTAAAAAAAAGTAAAATCACAACTTTTCTTCTTACGTGCAGAATTACCATCTATCAAGCAAAAGCAAACAAAATTTGATGCTTTTTCTTAAATTACATTATTCTGCAGATAATTCAGTATTAACTAAGTAAAACTTTAAAATTTTAACAATAAACTTTTAATCCCTTTTTTAAAAAATATTTAATACAAATATACTTTATTACAATGCTTCGAATATTATTACAATGAAAGGGTTATCATATGTGAAACGATTAATGCCTTATATATCTCCTAAAGTGCATTTTGGCCCAGCCCAGCCTAAAGTGCATAGTCATCATCGGTTGAACATCTTTTAAATATAAGGCAGAAGTTTTATTCTAAAAATTTATTTCAAGACTCACACATACAAAATGTAAAATTATAAAAATATTAACCATCAAAATGTTTGGAAACCATACACTTAGCTGTTGACAGCTTTACAATTGTACTGTGAACATCTTGACAGTATATTATTTATCATAGTGGGTTATCTAAAAGGGGTGTTGTTTTTCAGATGTTGCTGTCAAAGAGCATTATGACTTTAATACTTCTCATACTTCACTGAGCCCCAACTATCTCTTCCAAATGATTGTATACATTTGGTCAGTATACGGTACAGAGTCTGTATATGTATATTTGGGAAATAGTTGGGGCTCAGTGAAGTATGAGAAGTAATAAAGCTCTTTGACAGCAATATCTGTGAAACAACACTCCTTTTAGATAACCCACTATGTTGCATAATATATTGTCAAGATGTTCATAGTGCAATTGTAAAGCTGTCCACAGCTAAGTGTATGGTTTCCAAACATTTTGATGTTAATATTTTTATAATTTTATCATTTTGTATGTGCGAGTCTTGTAATAAATTCATTAAGATAAAATCTTTGCCTTATATTTAAAAGATGTTCACCTAACCAATGAGTGCCATTAACAACACGAGCCAAAATGCATTTTAGGAGATACATAAGGCATTAATCATTTCAGTATGTGATAACCCTTTTATTGTAATAACCTATACTATGCATGTGTAATAAAGTATATACGTATTAAATATTTAAGATTTTACTTGAAATTCATTTTATTATTTCCGTATATGAATTGAGAGTGAAACTTCATTAATCCAAATGATCTGTATTAGTTAGTTTGGATTATTAAGAATACATTGTGTCATTTAGATGAGACATTTAGATAAAGTAGAACTCAATTAAAAAATATTTTGAAATATTGATTACATCAAGAAAAATTAACTTTATTATTTTTATTTTTGTAGTGATGTTCGACCAGGTTTGATACATTCACAGTCTGTCAAACGGAAACATAAAATAGAACGGAAACAATTAGAAGCTAATAAGAAGAGTTTTACCAAACCATTGAAGAAATTAGAAGAAGAAAGAAGATTGGAAGGGTTAAATTCTGCATTAACTTCTAATAATAAAGGATTTGAATTGCTACAAAAAATGGGTTATAAACCAGGCATGGTAATTGGAAAAGAAGGTGGTTAATATATTAAAATTTTTTTTATCATTACTAACAATTTACTAAAATTTATCTTTGAGTAAATCAGTTATTACAATTAGAATCTCTTGCAGCATCATAAAAATTCCATATAATCTGCTAGTTTTAGTAAACTTTTGGAGTATACTCTACCAAGCACAATTATATTTTTTATATTTTATGCTAAAAATTTATTGCATTTAGTATATTAAATTTCCACAATTTCCTTTATTTATTNCGGTTAATCCTCAAAGGATTTCCTTACCGTGTATACCAGCCTTAACTCATCATCCTCTAATTACCTCTAAGTTATTATGTGCTTGTAAATATGTTGAATATGTTGTCTAAATAGCTGGAATTTCCTCTTTTTTTCTATTTGCCTATATTTGAAATCCAAGAATTAAAAAAACCTACTGACTTAATCCCCTTCTCTAACTTGTTTCTAACATTTTTTGACTCAACTTTAATTTCTCCCTATCTCATGAAATTAATAAACACAATATAAATTGTGAACAACATATATCATAGCTTCTTTCTCATTGCACACTATAATAATTCCCCTAATGTTAATAAATAAATAAATAAATAAATAAAACAACCTATGGGCCTAACCTTGATAAACTCCAAAGCCACCCTAAATCCTAAATCTCCTTTTTTTGTAACACTTTAAATCTATCCTATATCAACACATGGTTTAACATTTCTATACATTTTCATAACCTTTTCTTCCTGATTCAGAATTCTCGGGAATCCCGAAGACATCGCATATTAATAATGTATCAACATATACAGGCATGTCGCACCCATCCCTCACCACATGGCCGTATCAATAATGGGCGCCCACAGGGAAGAAAGAGTTAAAAAAAAGCGTAAAATCGTGAAAGTGACAGTTAATAGAAATATAAATATTAACGACATTTACGAATAAATAATATTCAAAACCGAATTAAAATAGTATTTATAAGAAGTCCTTTAAAAAACACAACAGCAATATCTGAATTAAAAACGAGATAATTTCATATATTAAAAGAACTCTGCATGTTTACAGCTGAATCTCCCTACACTCAAGCCAAACTTACGCCGCGAAGCGATTGCAGCGCACGCAGTGGGCAGAAATATTTATTACACCTAGGGTTTCTCAAACGGGATTCTGGGATCCCGGTTGTTTTTTTAACCCGGGAAATATCCCGGGAAATTTTTCTTATCCCGGGAAATCCCGCAAATTTCTTAAAAATTCACTTTTTTTCTTATTTTGTGTTAAGGTTGAGGAATTTTGCAAATAGAAAGCATAATTAACTCATTCACTGTCAGAATACATTTGTATTTATTAATTTTAAACCTACCTATTAGTTTTTTTTAATTTTTGCTCGTTNTGGAAGGGTTAAATTCTGCATTAACTTCTAATAATAAAGGATTTGAATTGCTACAAAAAATGGGTTATAAACCAGGCATGGTAATTGGAAAAGAAGGTGGTTAATATATTAAAATTTTTTTTATCATTACTAACAATTTACTAAAATTTATCTTTGAGTAAATCAGTTATTACAATTAGAATCTCTTGCAGCATCATAAAAATTCCATATAATCTGCTAGTTTTAGTAAACTTTTGGAGTATACTCTACCAAGCACAATTATATTTTTTATATTTTATGCTAAAAATTTATTGCATTTAGTATATTAAATTTCCACAATTTCCTTTATTTATTGAATTGTTGGCATTTGCAAAAATTGCTGTTTTAAAGTAGTTTTAAAATTTATAAAGTCAATCAAATATGAAACAAGTAAAATGGCAAAACCGTATTTAGGACAAGACTATGTCTTGGAGACTCACTACTAAGCAGAATCACTTTGATGCTCAAAGTGGGTCTCATTCTCATTCTCCAATCTTCTTTGGTATTGCTGCTTTTGGGCATCATTGTTTGAACTTCACCGGCTATGACCATGAGGTCGTCCATGATTACAGTGACCATATTTTTTGGGGGAAAATAAAGGACATATCGAAGAAAATCAAAAAATACCTTATAAAATTCATAAGTTTATAACATTTATTACGAAAATAGTAGCATACAACAATGCATACATTAAAATTTTAAACAATCTGAATTATTACACATACACACATTGTAAAAATTTAAATAACATTAATTTTGATACTTTTCAGTAGAATTAATTTTTTTNTTCCTCTTTTTTTCTATTTGCCTATATTTGAAATCCAAGAACTAAAAAACCTACTGACTTAATCCCCTTCTCTAACTTGTTTCTAACATTTTTTGGCTCAACTTTAATTTCTCTCTATCTCATTAAATTAATAAAAACAATATAAATTGTGAACAACATATATAATAGCTCCTTTCTCATTGCACACTATAATAATGCCCCTAATGTTAATAAATAAAACAGCATATGGGCCTAACCTTGATAAACTCCAAAGCCACCCTAAATCCTAAATCTCCTTTATTTGTAACACTTTAAATCTATCCTATATCAACACATGGTTTAACATTTCTATAAATTTCCATAACCTTTTCTTCCTGATTCAGAATTCTCGGGAATCCCGAAGGCATCGCATATTAATAATGTATCAACATATACAGGCATGTCGCACCCATCCCTCACCACGTGGCCGTATCAATAATTGGCTTGCAAAAGAGGTCCTCTAAGAGCCCACAGGGAAGAAAGAGTTTGAAAAAAAGCGTAAAATCGTGAAAGTGACAGTTAATAGAAATATAAATATTAACGACATTTACGAATAAATAATATTCAAAACCGAATTAAAATAGTATTTATAAGAAGTCCTTTAAAAAACACAACAGCAATATCTGAATTAAAAACGAGATAATTTCATATATTAAAAGAACTCTGCATGTTTACTGCAGAATCTCCCTACACTAAAGCCAAACTTACGCCGCGAAGCGATTGCAGCGCACGCATTGGGCAGAAATATTTATTACACCATTATTGTAGCATTATAGCTATTGTCAGCTCAAGGACCAGTATATCTATGGACTCTGGTCTTATTATTCGATAAGCACTTGCTTGTTCCAACTAAGCGGAAGCCACTTTGAGCACTTATTTAAAAATAAAGTAACCAGCTACACTAAACATTGATAAATAATTTTTTCTATAACAGTTATTCCTGATTTCGCTCTTCATACCGGAAGTGACGAAAAAAACATTTCTACACGAATATCTCTGGAATGCCACGATTCGATCGAATTCGATCGAAAAATGGTTAGCACTTTTTTGGGTCAGTTTTGACAAGGAATCACGAGATATGATTATTATGGGTCGATTCTGATCACCCTGTATATTAATAAATGTAATTAATAAAATTTTGAAAAATTATCAAATAAATTACGTAACTGAAAATAATTTTATGATATACATGAAATTAGTGGCTTAGTCATAAACATGGACATCCTTCAAAAGGCGATGAAAAAAACAAATTGTTCCTGATCCCGAGGAAGTAGGAGCAGCTTTACAATGTCTTTGTATTTAAGTCCTTTACTCTAATATAATAATTCAATTTCCTGTAGTCCCTGCAGTAAATATTTCTCCCAGTCACCACAAACATTTGGTCGTAATTATCGAAAGAAATAATATAAATCTCAGAAATATTACATTTTTACACTACATAATTAAAACGATATTCCTGTCCAGTTCAATTCAAAACATTTTCCAGGTTCTCCGGAAGAGCTGCATCATCCGGAAGTAACGTTTGGTTTAGTTTTTATTAGTACAGTATACGGCGATCTGCCCGAGATAAAACTGCCTCCTGGGATATTTTTTATGAAAAACTGGCCCCTATTTAGATTATTACTATTGTGAAGAATAACTGGTACCTTCACATGGCCAGCGCGATGGCCAGATGCGAACCCACCACCAGTGTTCAGTGGCCTTTAATGAGCTCCATATGTTTCGCTATTTACCCTGTTAAATTTCAATGTTTTTTACTGATGTTCGCAACACAATTATAATATTTATCATACTTTCGGTATTTCATTAATGCAATATTCTCAGGAACGAAAGTGTGATAAGTACGAAAACTGTGTTACGAACATTATGAATGAATGTTTAAATATCTTCGTAGATCTGTTGAGAGTAAATGCCGAAACACGTTATGAAATTAAATAAAGAATTTTAACGAAGTTGTGTCTTTTGGAAAACGATGAAATTATAGGAAACCAGGCGACTGGCTATTCTTTTTAATTCGTTAATTAAATCAGAAAAATATTTAGTACAACAATTTGCAAGACAATAATAGAATCTAACAATTGTTGAAACATTGTTCTGGTACTTCAGTTAATTTCGGTTAATTTCAAATCCAGTAAAATATGTCTTCGAAGTTTGCCTTTAAGATATCTAACGCTATTGGCAAGAAATCGGAACAACGATTTAACTCCAAAGATTCTTTAAAAGAAGTTAAAGCAAAGAATTCTTTCTGGGCAAAAGATCTTGAAACTATTCACAGAAAGTCTGCCTCTACCGCCGAATTATCCATTTTGTCCGCAATTGATTCTACCTTACATGCTCGGGAACAAAAGCGAACAAAGTCTTCCCTCTTACACATGGCGATCAGTCAGGGCAAGAAAGATATCGTCAGTAATCTTCTCAGTGAAGATCTGGACGTTAACGATCAAGATGCTGAAGGCAGAACTCCTCTCATGAAAGCTGTGGAATATAAACAGTATGATCTTCTTAACTATTTAATCGAACAAGGAGCAGAAGTAGATCACATCGATAAGAATGGAAACACAGCATTGCACATTGCTCTCGACACAGGTTCGTACGATATGGCACACATTATCTTACGTCAATCGCCTAATGTTAACGTTGGTAGGAATGATGGGTTAACACCGTTGCATTTGGCTGCAAACCTTAAACAGGACAAAACTATTAAGAAGATATTACGACAAGGTGCAATTGTCGATATCAGAGACGAACAAATGAGAACCCCACTCATGTTAGCCTGTAAGAAAGGTCACTTGCCTAGTGTTCTTCCCCTGCTCCAACGTGGAGCTAATCCAGCTCTCAAGGATAAACACGGATGGTCAGCCAAAGATTTTGCTTCTATCATGGGTCACAATAAAGTAATAGAAATGCTCAACTTATATGAATATCCAGAACAAGTTGGGGAAGAAATTCATTTAGAAAAGAACGAAATTCAATTGAAAGAGAAGCAGATGGAAAATTCAAACGAAGCAGGAGACGTAAAGGCTGCATTGCCGAAAGAAGTTGAATTATCTCCACATTTATTGAGCAAACTCGAAAATATTGTGAACAGATATACTTTACAAAATTAATACAGAATATTTAATCATTTTCATTTAATTGTTGGTTAATATCGAACTTTCAAAATTTGAAATTAATTTGGTATATAAGTTAAATTTTGAAAATTATTATTATTTAAATAAAACTTTTCGTAAAACTTGCAAGAATTAGTTTCTTCAATTAAGTGAATTTAAATAAATCGGCAACGAGTTGCTCAACTTTCCGGGTGACATTTAAAGTTTTAGCGGCGCCATCTGTTATCATATTTTATTTTTAAAACATTTTTATATTTGTAATCATTATAAAACGGCGAAAAGCTTAATTTTATGGGTAAGGATGAGTTTCTGCTGAAGATACACACGACTCCCATTATCTCCGCACCCCCTCGACCTTTAACCACCAAAATTTAACATTTATTCCTCAATACACAGACCTCCATGTAGAATCTCAGAAATTTTCAACAAACAGCACAGGAGTTACTAAGCTTCAAACAGGGTGAACGTAATCATGCATACCACACACGTACACAAGTTAACATCCATACATATATATATTAACCCAGAATTCTTTTGCATTTCTTGACTTTTCAAGGTCCCGAGTCCAAAAATGTAAAGATTTTGGGGCGCAATTTTTGACCGACGGTTATACTTTTCCTCTGTTATATATAACAGCCAGGAAAGTAAAAAGACCTTAATTATTATCATTAGTTTCTACCATTTTAAAAATTTTTCAATGGCCCCACACACACACACATATATTATATATATATATATATTTTTTAATACTTTCCGACTGCAGGAAATAAGAGATCCTCTTATGCAAACCCATTATGGTTTCGGTCAGGCTCATAATGAAGATATAGTTAATTACGTAATAAGAGAGAAGATATAGAATTTTTGGGGAAATGAATATTGGGTTCTTGAGTGAGAGTGAAAATTCTAACTTGTAGATCACGTGGAAACTTAATTCTTCCGAACTGAGAACACACGAAATCCATTTAAGTTTCTGAGTCTCCAAAGTGTGGGAATCAATAAGTAAAAAGTATTGTAGCATTAGTTTTGATTTTAGAATAAGGCATTAGGCACTACAGACTACTGTACATAATAGATGTTAATTTTAGTTATTTTACCTATTACTGACAAAGTCCTCTCGGAATTAGGTAAGTTACTATGGACAAGAATTGAAAAATGACTCCCTTACTCAGGGGCGGCCAACAGTTTTTGCCCCCGGGCCGAATTAGAAAGAAAACTTTTTTCACGGGTCGAACCAGAGGCTGCCCTAGGAAAATTTTGAGGTGGTGCGAGATCTCATTGTGGTGTCATCCCGTAGAGACTAAATTGTACATAGAGATTAAATGCATTTTTCACATTATCATGCATTATCAACATTCTACGCGGTACTTACAGAGATTTGTAATGGAGGGTTAACTCTAAACATACAGTGAGTTGTTGACCTTTTAATCGCGATTAAAAGATTAATCGCGGGCCGTATGTTGGCCATGCCTGCCCTAACTCGATCTGCTCGTAAAAAATTATTCAATTCAGGATCCCCAAAGTGGCAGAATATATTTTATTGTAAGACAATTTCTATATAGTGAATGGTCGAAGTTGTTACGGCATCAGACTACCGTCTCGGAGATACGGGATACGGAAAAAACTACCGAAATTTTTCGAGGGGTTCTCCTGAATTGAGGAACGGGACTGATATGATGAAAAAAAAAAAGCCCAGGAAGCGGAAAGATCAAAAGTAAATGAATAAACCGCACAATCAATAAAAAAAAAACATTTTTTATACTGAAAGGAAATCATGTAAATCGTTCCTTTTCGGCAAAAAATACATTAATTTCTAAATTTATCTAGCAAATAATTATAATAAATTTTAAATTCTATTTTAATTTAATTTAAAAATAAATTATATTCGTTTATGACACTAGAGGGAGAGAAGGCGACGAATGGTTGTCACGTGGTTTGTTTATTTGATCTATTCTCCCAGTCGTGATCAATCGAAATGGATGAAATTGATTATATGTCCGATAACTTATTGAGTAATTGCAGGTAACTTACTATTTTCGAAACTGAACTTTACGTTTGATAAAACTATACATTCTTACCATTATTTACAATTTGTACACGAGGCATCAAGTATTCTTTAAATAAAAAGATTGTTAGCGCTTGATTCATAGACTTCAAAGCACCTTAACCAACTTTTTCCACTTGAAAAAGTACAATACAGTTCGGTAAAATTGGAATACTGAACGAGGCGTTTTATTTATATTCTTATAGGTATAGTCTGTAGCTCTTATAATGTCCCAACCATCTCATTCAGAGCTGCATTCGTACAGTACATATTTTATGGCTCTTTACAAAACCATTCTGTTAGAATGAATGGTTTTGTAAAGAACCAAATTATCTGTATCAGAGTCTAACTCTGATACAGATAATTACAAATAAAATACACTTAAAAAAAAGTAAAATCACAACTTTTCTTCTTACGTTAAGAAGAAAACATGCAGAATTATCATCTATCAAGCAAAAGCAAACAAAATTTGATGCTTTTTCTTAAATTACATTATTCTGCAGATAATTCAGTATTAACTTTAAGTAAAACTTTAAAATTTTAACAATAAACTTTTAATTTCTTTTTTAAAAAATATTTAATACAAATATACTTTATTACAATGCTTCGAATATTATTACAATGAAAGGGTTATCATATGTGAAACGATTAATGCCTTATATATCTCCTAAAGTGCATTTTGGCCCAGCCCAGCCTAAAGTGCATAGTCATCATCGGTTGAACATCTTTTAAATATAAGGCAGAAGTTTTATTCTAAAAATTTATTTCAAGACTCACACATACAAAATGTAAAATTATAAAAATATTAACCATCAAAATGTTTGGAAACCATACACTTAGCTGTTGACAGCTGTACAATTGTACTGTGAACATCTTGACAGTATATTATTTATCATAGTGGGTTATCTAAAAGGGGTGTTGTTTTTCAGATGTTGCTGTCAAAGAGCATTATGACTTTAATACTTCTCATACTTCACTGAGCCCCAACTATCTCTTCCAAATGATTGTATACATTTGGTCAGTATACGGTACAGAGTCTGTATATGTATATTTGGGAAATAGTTGGGGCTCAGTGAAGTATGAGAAGTAATAAAGCTCTTTGACAGCAATATCTGTGAAACAACACTCCTTTTAGATAACCCACTATGTTGCATAATATATTGTCAAGATGTTCATAGTGCAATTGTAAAGCTGTCCACAGCTAAGTGTATGGTTTCCAAACATTTTGATGTTAATATTTTTATAATTTTATCATTTTGTATGTGCGAGTCTTGTAATAAATTCATTAAGATAAAATCTTTGCCTTATATTTAAAAGATGTTCACCTAACCAATGAGTGCCATTAACAACACGAGCCAAAATGCATTTTAGGAGATACATAAGGCATTAATCATTTCAGTATGTGATAACCCTTTTATTGTAATAACCTATACTATGCATGTGTAATAAAGTATATACGTATTAAATATTTAAGATTTTACTTGAAATTCATTTTATTATTTCCGTATATGAATTGAGAGTGAAACTTCATTAATCCAAATGATCTGTATTAGTTAGTTTGGATTATTAAGAATACATTGTGTCATTTAGATGAGACATTTAGATAAAGTAGAACTCAATTAAAAAATATTTTGAAATATTGATTACATCAAGAAAAATTAACTTTATTATTTTTATTTTTGTAGTGATGTTCGACCAGGTTTGATACATTCACAGTCTGTCAAACGGAAACATAAAATAGAACGGAAACAATTAGAAGCTAATAAGAAGAGTTTTACCAAACCATTGAAGAAATTAGAAGAAGAAAGAAGATTGGAAGGGTTAAATTCTGCATTAACTTCTAATAATAAAGGATTTGAATTGCTACAAAAAATGGGTTATAAACCAGGCATGGTAATTGGAAAAGAAGGTGGTTAATATATTAAAATTTTTTTTATCATTACTAACAATTTACTAAAATTTATCTTTGAGTAAATCAGTTATTACAATTAGAATCTCTTGCAGCATCATAAAAATTCCATATAATCTGCTAGTTTTAGTAAACTTTTGGAGTATACTCTACCAAGCACAATTATATTTTTTATATTTTATGCTAAAAATTTATTGCATTTAGTATATTAAATTTCCACAATTTCCTTTATTTATTGAATTGTTGGCATTTGCAAAAATTGCTGTTTTAAAGTAGTTTTAAAATTTATAAAGTCAATCAAATATGAAACAAGTAAAATGGCAAAACCGTATTTAGGACAAGACTATGTCTTGGAGACTCACTACTAAGCAGAATCACTTTGATGCTCAAAGTGGGTCTCATTCTCATTCTCCAATCTTCTTTGGTATTGCTGCTTTTGGGCATCATTGTTTGAACTTCACCGGCTATGACCATGAGGTCGTCCATGATTACAGTGACCATATTTTTTGGGGGAAAATAAAGGACATATCGAAGAAAATCAAAAAATACCTTATAAAATTCATAAGTTTATAACATTTATTACGAAAATAGTAGCATACAACAATGCATACATTAAAATTTTAAACAATCTGAATTATTACACATACACACATTGTAAAAATTTAAATAACATTAATTTTGATACTTTTCAGTAGAATTAATTTTTTTATAGCGCCGTTTCACGCTTTAAAGTCATAAAATTCCATACAGTTCATTTGAAAGTTGTATTTGACAGAAATACATGCTTCTAATGTGCTTACTTTTAAATGGGTTTTTTCATTCGTCCGCATATTATTCAGCAATGAAAATATTCGTTCAACGGGGGCATTAGATCCAGGAAGACAAAAAAAATTCTACGATTTTACAAACGTTTTTGAAAACAATTTCTTTTGCTGTAAAATGTTCAAAAATCTCAATCCACCTTTGATGGCAGGGCTGGTTATTCTGTCACCATTCGTCGATCTTTTCGTTTGTGACATATTTTTTTACACATGAAACTTCATCAAATAATTCACCGTCGAGTATATTTACGGACCAATGATTCGAAATAAAGATATAGCTTTCCTCTACCTTCGCCCACAAAGGGATTTCACATAATGTGACCCATTCAAACACCTCTATTTCAATAAAAAACATGTCCCAATCATTTAGATAATCTATGCACGTTTGATAAAATGTGTACACAACATCATTGAATTTTTTGGCTTGTATATTTTCTGATTTTTCTAATGCTAAGACCACTTTTCTAATAACAATAGGAAGAAACCCCTCATTTTTTCTTTCAACTAACTTTAGCTTTAATTAACAAGTGTATCATCCACCAACTAGAGAGTTAAAAAACTATCACAAAAATCCCCATAAGAGTGTCCATCCCCTGGTACTGTCAGTGGGCCGTTTGGTTGGCGACACACTGCACTACTGCGCTCTATGTAGCAATGCAACACTGATCGTGATGGCGTACACAAAACTAACTTGTTCAATATATTATTAAAATTTTTTTTTTTAAAACTTTGCGTCAACTTTACAAAATAAAGGACAAAATGCCTATTTTAGGAAATAAATAAAGTTAAAGGACAGAGCAGTGAAATAAAGGACTGTCCTCTTAAATAAAGGACGTATGGTCACTGTATCCATGATGCATTTTTGATGAAATTAACTTATCCAATTTCAAAATTTCTCTCCATTGCATGTTGGCCTGGATTGAATTTTTGTTGATGCATAATGAAAATTTCCCATTTTTGAAAAAAATAATTGTGGCTATTGTGTTGTCTGAAATTATTTTTTTATTTTGCACAAACAATATACAGTTTAACCCGATTATAATGTCATTGGATGTAACGACGGCCCTAATATAACGTCAAATTTATATCAGTTCCACGATTTTACTATACTAGATAATGTTAAAAAACCTACTTGTAACAACATAAAACCCTGTTTTAATATCATATTTGATGCACTCCCAAATTTACAAAATTAGATTACAAATTTTATTTAACAAAGAAAATACTACGTGTTCAGTCCTAGGATCACTTCCTAGTACGACTGTGGGTGGTATTCTCACCACCCGACTTTGGCTTGCCTGTTTGTAGAGAGAGTTGCCATTTTGTATTTTATTTTGAGTCAATTCTCAGTTACCTACAAGTCTGGTTTTTTTTATGCACGCATGATTTGGGTACCTAATACTCTGTGCCAAATTGCAACTCCTGACATATACTCCTTCATACCTGTGAGCTGGTAACACAGCAGGCAGTACGATTTTATAAACAAGACATAGTCTTGTCAAAAATAACATAATTAATAGTATAAATGTAAGTAATTAATCTTTTAATATTTTTTTATCATAAAATGGGGAGAATAATAATTTGTTTTGTTAAATGTTTTTTTTTCATTATTCTTATATCTAATTCTAAAGATTTTTACAATTTAATTTTGTTTTTAATACTTTTGTATATTAAATTATTAATGAACAGACTTTTGTTGTTTATTTCATAAAGTCTTTAAAACAGCTTAATTTCAAACATACATTATTTCCTGGCTTCTTGAAAAAAATATATGTCTTGATACAGTAGGGTCTTGATGGTTTGTCACTACCATTGTTAAGCCAAAGTACCCGTACTCAACCAGAACTCATAAAAATTACATATTTGAGTGATTCAGATCAAATGTGTGATGAGACACCACACAAATTGTACACACACCAAAAAGTCTAACATTGGCTTTCAATTTATCACATTTGTGAAGTGAAATGATTGCCAGTTCTGTATTGTACAGAACATCAATTATCTTAGTGATGATGACAGTAACATATTGCACTTACTCGTATCATAGGTAAAGCAATATTTTAATATAATATAATGGATGTATCATTATTTCTGTTTTCCACTGTGTATATATATATAGACGATGGAAATTCAACTATCGAAATTTGAAGTATATATACATACATACATACATACATACATACATACATACATACATACACTGTATACTTCAAATTTCAATAGTTTTAGCTTGTCTCATTCTCAATTAGCTTGAACTATCAAGACTACTGTATGTGCTTTATACACTCAAACAAAATCACTGATTTAAAATGCCAGAATTCAAAGATTTATTAAATTATAACAATCAATCCAATATTGGAATGATGAACATTCCAAAAACATTGATCTTGTATTTTATGCCTTCTTGAAAATGTGAGGGTTTGAATAAAATGATTAGTTGTAATGTATGGAGGCGTCACATTCCTACAATCAAACATCCTAATTTATTATTTTCACAAGATAATTTATATTCTGAGATAATCATTTAAAATAAATATCAGGGAATATCACAAAATCTTTATAATTTATCCATACACATTTCTATAGGATTTTATATACTATTTTTAGTTTCTCCCATGTAAAAATATTACATATATAGAACATGATAAACATTCAATAAGTACAGCTTTTAAATTTAAAATATTTTTTTGTGTTTTGATGTGTTTCACTAAAATTTATTAATAATTTATCAATGACTTTTATTTATATTAAGTAAAAATTATGTATGATCATCTCATATTTTATAAGTTGCTTCTTCTCATGTTATAGTTACTCTGTAAATAATTTAAAAAAACAATTTAATTATACTATTGAATTAATTTTAAATTTACAGGAAGAAAAGATGCAAGTATTCATCTTCAAGAACCAATCAAAGTAAATATTAAATCTGATAGAGGAGGACTTGGAAGAGAAACAGAAATTAAAGAAAAGATGGAAAAACAAAAAGAAATGCTTTCAAAACGAAAAATTATAAGAGAAAAAGAAGTTGTTGCTTTACAGCAAAATTATCAACAATATATTCGTAATAAACGCTCGACAAAATTAATGCAGAGAGATTTATGTGAAAGTCAAAGGATATGTGAACAGCTTGATAAAGAAAATGTAAGTTTTGAAATATATTGATAATTTTTATTGTAATTTTAACATTAATTTACAGAAATTATTTCAGCTTTTCTGTTAGTCTTCTTGATCTCTTTTCAGTTCAAAATAGTTTTATCACATTTTATAAAAATTGTTTTTACTCTATAACTTTGATATGCAAGGATATCGTTTTGATGCACAATGTTTTTACTTGACATTTTGCTCCCTTCCATATGCATACACACATTGAAAGACTTGTAATTTTTAATCATCCCAACATATTTTCTTTACTCTTTAACAGTATTTAATGAAAAAGGCAAAAAAAAAAAAAAAAGTTCTAGCTGTATGACATTTGCATATTCTCACCTTGGCTGCTTGGGTTTTCTTTTGATACTCTTACATCCCAAAGACATTAATATTAGATTAATTGGCATGTAAATTTTTCTAGCATAAGTGAGTGCACCTTCAATGAAATGGTGTTCTGACCAGAGTTGGTTTCTGCCTTGAGCCAAACTTTCTGAGATAGGCTATTTCAGTTCAGATTTTCAGGTTGTAGGTACCTGTACCTAAGTAGATTGGAAAACAAATAAAGAAATGAATACAAATTTTTGTAAAATAAAAATTTGTAAAGTATACAATAATCAAACAAATGGACAACAATAATAAATGATGCAGTACAAAAGTCATCAGAGTTAAGCCTTTCTCCCCATACCACTTACTATCATGACTGCCAATAACTCACTGATTCACAAAAAATTGGGTAAATTATTGTCATATATTTAAGAAAGATTAATGAATACAAGTAATATCTTTAATATTAGAAGTGTTTTGGTTTTGATTTAGAAGTTAGGAAATATTTTTGTGACCAGAAATAAGCCATAGGAACTTAACTCTTGTTTAAATCAGTTAGTCTAGGGTAACATTAGTTTTGTTATATGTTGTTTCACTTAGTTGGTTTCTAAGAATCTATCAATGATATTAAATGAGGATTTAGACTGTTCATCTGTAGATGACATATTAGCAATGCAGTTTCATATTAAGTAAGAATCACAAGTTTGAATCTCACCATGACTCAACATAATTAAATCAACAATAGCCTGATAAATTTGATAATTTTTGACAATCATTTTATACATATTCATGAAGATATTGTCATATCTAATAAAAATATTATTTTCTTATAATTATGATAGTTAAATGTCATCTGCAGAAAATTTTCTAGAGAGGGACAAAGCTTTGAGACAAATAGTTACATCAATAAATTTTTATTTAATTTTTTTTGAGGTATCTCATAAGTAGATTATAGAATACATTATTGCCTCAAGGAGTCCTATAGTTAGAGGTGTAAGGTTAACTTAATCACTTTTACAATTATAATTTGTGAAATGTTTTAGTTTATCCCAAGGGAGGACAGATGCCCTCCTCTGAAGACACTCATGGTCAATGATCTTTGAATTGATTTAAATTTAGCTGTTGGTAGACAGTAACAGATCAACAAAATAAGATTGAAATTAGAAAACTACACTTATAGTATAAAAATAAGAAAATACTCAATGATGAATCTGAATTCAATGTTTGACTTAAGAATATTATTTGTAGCCTATAATTCTTGACAAATTTGAAATACCTGATTGAACATTATACAGTATTGGTTGCATTGCATTACTAAAATACAAAAATAATAAACAATGATGCTATTATAATCTTAAAATTTTAATATCAAAAGTTAATAATCATTTTTTAAATACTGTAATACCGGTACATAGGATATTCAAGAACCATCTGAAGAATGGTTTTGGCCTCCACAGAAAACAGATACTGAAGAGGAAGAAAGTGAAAGTGAAGAGGAAGAAGAAGATGATGATGATGATATTTTAGAGGTATGATATATTTTTTAAAATCAGTCTATAAATTAGGAAGGTCTCATTCAGATTATTAATATTTATATAATGATTCATTTTATTTAATTTCTCTAAATGTCTTCCAACTGGTTAATGAGAGCAGAATTGAAGAATTTCATTGACTTTTAGATTAGTTATTTTTATCTTCATGTCATAAAGCAATATAATTGCTCTGTGAAAGTCTTTCCCCAATCAATGTAGTGAAACAATAGATTTGAAAGTTAAATATAGACTTTAAATTATTATGTATAATTTTTTTATATGTAACAAAATTGGAAACAAATTTTAATTATGATCTATTGATAAAAATATGTCTGGCTATGAGGATTATTATTAGTGTGTCAGTAGATTCTTCAATGGCAGAATTTGGCTCAGTTTGACTTTAGATCATTTTAGCTTTCGTGGGTATCTTGAGGAAATCAGAATTTTTCATGTGCCTTTCCTGTATTAACTGATTACAATAAAAGTCAGATTATCCATAATGGATAAAACCGAGACTAGTTATTCAACTCTAAGAATGATTACCACATGGTTGATGTATTAAAAGTTTTTGTGCACAAATCCTTTGCACCAAAAGGAGGCTATACTCTGAGGGATTCAAGTCATGATATCAGGAATTTTTTATGAGTAGTCTCTCCCAGATATCAGATCCTTCAGCATGCATTTGACTGATATCATCATAGATATATTAAAAGTTTTTAAGAATTGAAATGACTGGCATTTGCTCAGCAATTTTTCTTTTTATGTCAGATGAAATTTTTTTACTTTCTTATTTAATGCACAAGTACAATTATTTACATCAAGTGTTATATGTACTATACATGTATGATGTGTATGTTGTATATATGTTATATATGTAGAACATATCATAGTTCTCATGCAAGCTGTTAGAATAGTTAATTGCAAAGAATAAATTTCAGTACAAAGATAAACTTTGAAGAACAAAATTTTCTTGAACAGAATTTCATTTAAAACAATTAAAACATTTAAAATTTAATCACTATTTCAATAATAAAGAATAGTTTGATATGTTTATTGTACTGTAGAAACACACATTAGAGTAAGCAAAGAAGTTAAAGAAACTTCCAACGTATGTATAGTGTATTATTAAAACTCATTTTTGAAAACAAATTGTTGACAATTTGTAACTTATTTTTTTAATTATCTAATTATATAATACATTTAATTAATATGCATCAATGTCCTTAATTTAAACAAATTATTCTTTCAATCACCATAACAGGAATGTTTTAAAATTGATATTGTAATTGGAATGAACTATTGGAGGAAAACTAGAATAGAAAGAAAGAATATCAAAATAGTATGAATTTTATAAGTTATTATTGTAGGCATAAAAATTTTAAAAATATTGTCGGTAAATTATGTTTGTTTATTGTTTGAATTTTATTTATTTAGAANCTGGGTCCTCGTCCCGGGAAGTGGAAACGCCAATTTTAAAGATTAAAAGACTTTAAATTGGCGGCCGAAGGGGCTCTGGTAATTACAATTTGCACTCATTACACAGAATTGCTGGTATTCGCTGCAATACTCGATTTGTGATGACAGCCGAATCCGGATCTTCGAGACTTTACTGTAATTAAAACAAATATGAAAACTATTAAGAAATTACACGTGTACGTAACAAAAATAAGAAATGGTTTGATAAACTGTTATAAGTGTCGATCAGCTTTTTATTTTATACAAAATATAAAATTAAGAGAAATTCAGTTTATTTGCATATACATAGTGGCATCGATTATCCGACTCAATTGGGGACTCAGGTTGGTCGGATAACTGAAAAAAAAGAAAAAAAAAAAATACATTATTAGTATAGTACCGGTATATTAGTATATCGCTATTAACCAACTTCGCATCGAATTTTAATCGATGTTAAGCCTAACAAATTTTTCTAAAAATAATAATCGTCGCTATCGTATTGTTAAAAATTACTTTTAAATTATTTTATTGCTCTCAAAACAAACAACCACACATAATTAGAAAATTAAGTCTCGTTTAAATACTGGCCGCCCTTTAATGATCGAGCCGTGTTGCCAGCTAAAACACGCAAAAATTTAACAAAAATAATATTAAAGTAGCCAAGACATAGCCAAATATTGTAGTGCCACATCGCTAGCGGACATTTGAAATTTGCCAACTAGAACGGTCGGTTAACCGATGTGACGGTTAATCGGGGGTCGGATAATCGATGCTCTACTGTATTTTACATGAGTACAATTTTTAAAAAGGCATGGTTTTCATGTGGATAGATAAATGGAAAATATCACTATTTTATATTAAGCACAAATTTCATATTTAATTTAACATCAAAATCACTTAAGATAACTCGATTACTCGTAGTCAATCTCTGCGGCAAAGGCTTGGTTATTACACGAGAACTTTATCCATTGTGTTTTCGAAGTGTCAGTCAGCATGCACAGTTAAAATTTTGATAACGACTCAAGCAGTTGGTAGGCTGGCCGAGCGGTCTAAGGCGCTGGTTTAAGGCACCAGTCTCTTCGGAGGCGTGGGTTCGAACCCCTGCCAGTTAATACGTTGTTTTGCGTCGATGTATGCAAATCAAATCGTCGATTCGTACAAAACTGAACAAACAATAGAGAGGTTGCGGCCGACGTTTTTAACGCGAAAGCGTGTACGTCGGACGTTCAGCGCCGCCTTCCTGTAAGCCTAGAAGTTTGACAATGCTGTTTGGAACGTCAGTAGAATCATGCTCGACGTTCTAAACGCCATTGTCAAACTTCTAGGCTTACAGGAAGGCGGCGCTGAACGTCCGACGTACACGTTTTCGCGTTAAAAACGTCAGCCACCTCTTTATTGACATTGCTACGTTTGCTAAATGCGTTTATTGTAATCGATTCGCGCTTAGAATTTAAGGTTATCGGAGAGATTTCTGAAGCAAATGCGAGTTTTGTACGTTACGGCGGAAAACCGAAATAACAGAATCGTTTGCAGACTAACTGTTTCTGCGCGCTTTGCATCAGCGTTTGTTAAACATGACCGTGAAAAAGAGCAAAAGTTATAGTACAAGTAAGGTGGAGGATAAAAAGAAAGTTTTGCGTTTCAAGATTGCGCAAAAACTCATTGGTAGGGCCTCCGAAGAGACTGGTGCCTANAAGGCGACGAATGGTTGTCACGTGGTTTGTTTATTTGATCTATTCTCCCAGTCGTGATCAATCGAAATGGATGAAATTGATTATATGTCCGATAACTTATTGAGTAATTGCAGGTAACTTACTATTTTCGAAACTGAACTTTACGTTTGATAAAACTATACATTCTTACCATTATTTACAATTTGTACACGAGGCATCAAGTATTCTTTAAATAAAAAGATTGTTAGCGCTTGATTCATAGACTTCAAAGCACCTTAACCAACTTTTTCCACTTAAAAAAGTACAATACAGTTCGGTAAAATTGGAGTACTGAACGAGGCGTTTTATTTAGATTCTTATAGGTATAGTCTGTAGCTCTTATAATGTCTCAACCATCTCATTCAGAGCTGCATTCGTACAGTACATACTTTATGGCTCTTTACAAAACCATTCTTTTAGAATGAATGGTTTTGTAAAGAACCAAATTATCTGTATCAGAGTCTAACTCTGATACAGATAATTACAAATAAAATACACTTAAAAAAAAGTAAAATCACAACTTTTCTTCTTACGTTAAGAAGAAAACATGCAGAATTATCATCTATCAAGCAAAAGCAAACAAAATTTGATGCTTTTTCTTAAATTACATTATTCTGCAGATAATTCAGTATTAACTTTAAGTAAAACTTTAAAATTTTAACAATAAACTTTTAATCCCTTTTTTAAAAAATATTTAATACAAATATACTTTATTACAATGCTTCGAATATTATTACAATGAAAGGGTTATCATATGTGAAACGATTAATGCCTTATATATCTCCTAAAGTGCATTTTGGCCCAGCCCAGCCTAAAGTGCATAGTCATCATCGGTTGAACATCTTTTAAATATAAGGCAGAAGTNGTTTCTGCGCGCTTTGCATCAGCGTTTGTTAAACATGACCGTGAAAAAGAGCAAAAGTTATAGTACAAGTAAGGTGGAGGATAAAAAGAAAGTTTTGCGTTTCAAGATTGCGCAAAAACTCATTGGTAGGGCCTCCGAAGAGACTGGTGCCTAAAACCAGCGCCTTAGACCGCTCGGCCACCCTACCGGTCGATCGCGTTTGACAAATACCGCATCAATTAAGAAGAAGGCAAGAAGATTTCGGCCTTTCTCTTAAAACCCGGTGCGTGCCTACGGCAGCAGACAACAGTGAACAACGTGAGGCTAAACAGGCCAACAACACTAGCTCATAANCGTATGTATAGTGTATTATTAAAACTCATTTTTGAAAACAAATTGTTGACAATTTGTAACTTATTTTTTTAATTATCTAATTATATAATACATTTAATTAATATGCATCAATGTCCTTAATTTAAACAAATTATTCTTTCAATCACCATAACGGTGTATTTCTATTAATAGGACTTATCACACTGGTGTATAAGATTACAGCAACACAGTCACACAGATTAAAATTGTTTTATTTACAATTACCTGGATACATACAAATTGTGTTTCGGACTTGTTTGTCCCTCTTCAGCAGGTATTTAACAAACAAATTCTAAATAAATAAAATTCAAACAATAAACAAACATAATTTACCGACAATATTTTAAAAATTTTTATGCCTACAATAATAACATAAAATTCATACTATTTTGATATTCTTTCTTTCTATTCTAGTTTTCCTCCAATAGTTCATTCTAATTACAATTAATATCAATTTTAAAACATTCCTGTATTAAAACCAATAATTGTTTCATTAAACTCTGACATTTTACATTAAACATTAACATTTCACATTAAAATGTCATTAAAAACATTAAAATGTCAGAGTTTAATTAAACAATTATTGGTTTTAATACAGGAATGTTTTAAAATTGATATTAATTGTAATTGGAATGAACTATTGGAGGAAAACTAGAATAGAAAGAAAGAATATCAAAATAGTATGAATTTTATAAGTTGCTATTGTAGGCATAAAAATTTTTAAAATATTGTCGGTAAATTATGTTTCTTTATTGTTTGAATTTTATTTATTTAGAATTTGTTTGTTAAATACCTGTTGAAGAGGGACAAACAAGTCCAAAACGCAATTTGTATGTATCCAGGTAATTGTAAATAAAACAATTTTAACCTATGTGACTGTGTTGCTGTAATCTTATACACCAGTGTGATAAGTCCTATTAATAGAAATACACTGTTATGGTGATTGAAAGAATATAATACATTTGTTTGAAGATACAGAATTTTTTTTTTTTTTTTTTTTTAATTGATGAATTGAATATTCTTTTAATTTTTTCCAGCCCTCTGATAAGTTGCTAATTCTTACATCATATTTAAGAAAAACTTATTATTATTGCATTTGGTGTGGAACTAGATTTAATGGTAAGTTTCTTTTTAACTTTAATTTTCTAAAAATTTAAATGAATAAATTAATTTTGTTGCATTGTTTTAGATCAAGATGATATTAAACAGAATTGTCCAGGAAGTACACAAGAAGATCATAATTAAATGTCAATTGTTTGTATATATATTTAATGTAAATATGTGTGTTATTAAAAGTTATTTAAATGATTTTTATAAGTAAAAACTTCAATTTTAACATTTTAAACATTTTTACAATAAACTTCTAACAATATAATTAATCTTAATTTAAACACTGTATATAAATTTTATTTAATATTTGATGTACAGTACAGTGGGTGATTAGTTAATAAACAGTTCGGACTGCAAACAAATCAGACAACGAACACTTCCAAGAAAGATTTTTATGTTCAGACAACAGACACCTGACAGAAGCAACATTGTGTTTAAGATTTGTAAAACTATATTTTAATAGCATCTATACATGGTTTATGGAATGAGACTTTCACAGTTGTTTACATAACATTTTTTGCACTAGTTAATTTCTGTTCTCTGAATTTTTGTAAATGCTTTTATGAAGCTTAAAAAAGTGGAGTGTCAAGAACTGTGTTCACTATAGAAACTAAACAAGATATAATAGCCAAAGTAGAGAGTGGACAGATGTCTGATGTTGTAGACAGATGACTTCAAAAGATCTACAGTAGATACAATCTTAGCTAAGAAAGATAAAATCGAAAGGAGTAATGAAAATCATATCTGTGAAACAAAGATGTGCCATCCATAAAAAAATGGATATTGCTTTTAGTTTGTTATTATATGTAAATAAATATAGTAAGAAAGTATATACAGTGGTACCTGAACGCCCCAGCATACGAAATTTTCAGAATACAACATGAAATTTGAACATATTTTTGCTCCACGATACGAACAAAAATTCACCATACGATGTTACATTTGTTCGCAGCACCATTTTTTATTCACTTCTGTTCATCGTTCTCAGTCCCGTGTTTGCTTTGTCACGGAAGGATCTCGCTCAATAAAGGAAATCTTGAGGTATTATCAGAAAGTGACTGATTTTATTAAAAAGAAACATCCCGAAAAGGTTCACACTGGCTGTATTGCTACTTGGAGTAACGACATTTGCCTAAGTCATTTTAGAAACATTTTAAAAAGTAGGCAAAGCCAAACCTCTTTGGATAGATATTTTACCAAGCGACTTCTATCCAGTGAAAGTGCTGGTGGAAGTGAAGGAAAAAAAGCAAAAAGCAGTGAATAAAAATTAAAACAAAAAAATATAAAACAACACTAATTTTTTTTTATCTTTTCTAAGTTATTTTTAACTTATTGTTACATTATGTTATGTAAGTTAAGTTTTAGTATCATTTTCCTTCTCCCTCTCTTCCACCACCATCGTCTATCCTCAAAAATAAAGTGCAAATAAAACTACATTTTTTTTAATCAATTATTATTCTATTATGGTTATTTATACATTTACAACTACAAAATGCATTTTTCAGTGTTTTCCTTACTATAGTTATTTTTTTTTTTTAATGTACTACTTAGCTTTAATTTGAGTGTGTTTTTCATGTTGGAACGAATTATTTGGTTTTACATGTAATCGTATGGGGAAAAATGATTCACCTTACGATATTTTCATGATACGATCTCAGTTTCGGAACGGATTAATTTTGAATCCTGAGTGTAACTTTTTATTTATTTTTTAGGATCTCCAAAATGAATTAATCAAATTTCACAAAAATCTATGGTAAATTGATAATCAGTTAGCGAACATGGTCTTGGAATGGATTATGTTCGTTAACTGATCATCCACAATTGTATTAAAATTGTAATAATTTTAACTCAAATGAAAGTTTCTGGAAAAGAATCAGTTATGATCATTGTTGAATATGTAATTTTAAAAGATTTTACCAAGAAATGTTATAAATTATCAGTTAGCATATAAAAGTATAACTTAGTGGACATTAGACAGATGAATAGATGAATGAAACTTTATTTTGCCTTTGATGTTAGTAGTCTTATAGATGAAATGACTGGATCAGATAAGAGGTTGATGAAGAGGATATATATATACAGTATATATTATTCACTTGCCTGTTTACTTTTCTACAAATTTTCTTACAAAATCTTTGCTAATCTTTATTCCTTGCCTCCCAAGCTTCTTTGCTCCTTCACTCAACATCCCAATGTGAGTAATGCAACTTTGACCACATTACATCCATAGACAAGGATTCTGTACACAGATGGAGGCATTAGGTACCTTAAATAGTTTTGTACATTTTAGCCAAGCTGTTTCTAGAACAAATTTTTCACAGAAACACCACATGAAAAATACAGAGAATGATGTGACATCTCTTATTAATTCTTATGATACTCCTGTGGTTTTTGATGACTTTGCTGAAGAGTTGTTAGTGAATCAACAAACTGCATTTCCATTATTAGTCATGCTGTGTCCTTGTTTTACAATATTGATAAGAAGCCCTGTACTTGATTCTTTATCTTTTATTTACATGCCAACTCTTCACATTTAGTTAACTTACATGCAGTAGCAACTCAAAAAATCTGAAAAGCATGCAGTGTAAACAAACCATACTCAACTGCACCTAACATTTTATCTATATTAATGTCTTTATGTAGTCTTCCGTAGGGATTACAATTGTGACACCTCTACACTGGATAAATTATATATTTAAACAAAATATTTCAATTTTAGTTAGAAAATCAGAGAAGGGACAATTGTAACTAAATAATTTTATATTATTTGCACAATTAAACACAAAAAGTTCCTGAAGCTTTTAACATCAAATGGTAAACAAAAATGCTGAGTTGATGCTAAAGTCTCTGGAATATTTAAAATTGTTCTCCAATGGATGGCATCCAAGTTTCTTGTAGGGTAAGTAAACTAAGAATATTGAGGTATACAATGCTAAGTGAAAAGATACTATGTGTGACATATTTAAAATGTTGGTATTGTCAAGTTCACCAATTCTTTATTATGACCAAATTGACACATTTGCATTTTATGATTATCAATTTGGGATAAAAGTAGTTGAATCTTATCACTGTATGATGCAATTGTGTGGCAAGAACGTCATCTCCAAGTCTACAATCTATGATTGGTCCAGTAAATATGAAGTTAAAGATAAGCCAGCTTGGGAAAGCCTTCCATCCTATTGGATATTGAACTGTGGAAGCTAACTCACAAAAAATGAAGAGGCACTTCGTTATGGCTAGTCCATTAAAGTTCTTAAAGCACAAAAGGTAGTGGAAGGATGTTGGTCAAGTAGCACAGGCCCTGCCAAAATTCAGAATTGCATAAGTGCAAGGTTATATAGTATACTTGAAGGGATGTTTGCAAACCATTCCATTGGAAGATGCTTCCAAAGAATACCACTTTAACTTAAATCTACTGCACTCACTGCAACATTTGGCTGATGCTATCTACACTAATCAACCACAGATGTACTTGTACAGTACATTCAGTGCTTTTTTCATGATAGTACAAGATCATACATGTCACAGTTTATTCAGCAGATCATCTTTGCTGGGAGGTTCTTCCTTATCTCCTGTATAGCCCAGACATAGTACTCCGACTACCATCTCTTCCACTCCATATAATACTTGTGAATGACATGGAGGTGGAAACTGTACTTGCAGAGTTCTTGGATTCAAAAAAGCTTGTTTTATTTATCAGGAATCCATGACCTGCTCAATCAATGGAAGAATGTGTTTGAATGCAATGACAATTTTCTTGAATAAACTATTTTTTGTTTTTGAAATAAATGATTCTGATTAATAATTAATATATTTAATATAAGGAAAGGAAACATTTAAAATTAATATTCATTCTGTTTGTTTAAAAAATCAATTTTCCAAAATTTTCACTTACTTCTTGTATGGAAGAAATAAAAACATTCTGTTTAAGCATTAATGTTTAAACATTTAAATAAGGAATATAAAGACAACATTAAGGAAAACAAAACATTATGTTACATATACAGTATATATAAAAATGAACTAATTATTTGTATATACTGTACAGTTGACCCCCATAACACTGTTAATTTTTTCTTTTTATATAAATTCCATGTTGTACAAGTCACTTAGATTTAACAAATTCGTGTGCCGTGCTGTGAACGGCTCACATATTTGTAAAATCTAAATGACTCATACAACACGGAATTTATATAAAATGGAAAAATCAACAGTGTTATGGGGGTCAACTGTATAATTACAATGAGAGTCTAGGTCTGACTATTAGGAAAACTGCTCAGGTGACTAGTCTTTCTTTTTTACTGAGTAGAGTAAGAAAATAGCATAGATGACAATTGCCAAGAACTGCTCATAAGCAAAATGTAGCAAATACACTGAGATGAAAAACAGTTTTTTAATAATGTTAAAAAACTTGTAACCTTTAAAAAAGTAACTGATGAATCAAAGTTTGGGAGTTATGAAAGTTTGATATATAAAGTAGTTTACTATTTAAGTAATTATCTATGACAGCATTTGTAAAATATAGGTCTTATGCTGTGGAAGTGATTGTGTAAACTGTAAATAAATCTTACTTTCACTCATCCAGTCATTTTCTTGACAATATCTGCTGCCCTTTACATTCAATTTGATCATTCCATTTATCTTTACTTTTCCAACACTTTTCGTTTGCTTCCAAAACTCATCAGATGCATTTTACCATCCAGTCTACCCATCAGATGCATTTTACGATCTTCAAGCATCTCTCTTAATGTTTTCACAGCTTCATGTTTCCTTGACTTTCACTCTTCTATAGATGCAACACCGAATATTCCACAAGCCTCCTTTTCAAAACGACGGTCACGAAGAGATCCATTTGTGCGTAGAGTTGCGAGTAAATTCCCACGAAGCTAGTAATCCGGGGAGTAAAGACCTGCAGCAGCAATGAGGAAATGGTGAAGTCTGGTGGCCATGTTTGGGTATTTGGCTTTGAAGAGATATTCTGCCAAATGCCCAACTGCACGTTCTTTTTTCTGACCATACCGGGGAACTTTCACCCGAACCTCACGCCACGTCCTTTTGACCACATTGGTATGACCACCCATCTCGGGATCGAGAAAGCTATAAGTGTAACTATCCATCAAGCAACAGAAGGCTTCGTTTCGAAGACAATTATACACCTGCCAGCAATCTCCCACAACTGTCGTCCCGGGAAGCACCCACTCCTTCAGGGCCGTGACCAAGGTAGCGGCACTACACTTTTCCAACGGTACCAGAAAAGTGCATCCAGTCTCCCTCTCGATGCCTCCAAAGAACCACCGACCAGTTATCCTTCCCCTACCGTACATAAGCCATCCAAATTTTGCTACGTCTACTTCCACGACCCGGCCTTCTCCTCCAAGCTTTTCGGACGTTGACAGCACACTGTAGACAAGTACTTCTCTGCAGGAGACATACAAATCCGTGATGGTCTTGGAGGAAAGGTCGAGAAATTGTTCTAGATGACACTGTCTTGGAGGTGGCATGGTTAGCAAGGCAAGAATAAATCGCCATAGAGTAATCAGCTGGAGATAAGTCCTTTCGAAAAATGTGCCCGACCAAATCGTTTTACTCCATCCACATACCACAGGACGTTTTTTTACCCTCCGGATTTGCTTCCCGCAGTGGAACCGACCTCTGTCCTCTGCGCGTAGAGGATTGCCACACCGACCGCAATTGGTATGATCACGCCAAATGCCGTGGCGTAACAATTCCTCTTTAACGCGATCGTTAGAGAAGGCTCCTGCGTCATAGAAATTATACTCGCAACCCGAACAGACGTCACTCGAGACTGCCATTGTCTTCGAACTCCTCTTGACTGTGTAATTATTAACAGCTCATACATTAAGCATTTCTTCTTCATTTTTTACTAAAGAGACATTTTTGACAGACATATCTAAATTACATAGAATTCTTTGGGGGCGATCCGTTTAAAAAGTACTGTAGAACAAATCATCGCGGAACTATTTATCCAGTCGCCATTGTTTAAGATTGTTTTCGTAGCGGAATAGCACGTTAAACGGCGGACGGGTATAAAGCGCATCACGTGACCTAGTTTGCGTCACTTTGTCACGTGGATTCGTGAAAACGACGCTTTTCTCATCCACGTGATATCGCTTACGTTTTTCTGAGAACGATTATAATTTGCGGAATTTTTTTTATATAAAACTCATCACTACCCTCAAAATTAAGATTTTGCCATTCGATAATAATTAATATAAAAAGTTATAAGTAGAGGTTTCTTCTTCCAATAGTGAGACTAGTAATGTTTATCACGTTTTTATTAATTATCCACAATTAACAGAGACTAAGTTTAAGTTCACTTTATTCCGCCTATTTAACAATGCATTTCGGATTGGTAATTTTCCCATCCCTCTTCGGGTTCGCGGCTTCGATGTCTGAAGTTGTTGTCTACAGCATAACGAACAAAAGGTTAGTTTGTCTTAATATACTTTTGTTATTCGGGATGATGCATTTAGTGCACAATTTGTACACATCCTAATGGTGCATTTTCTACATATCAGTCTCTTTCACTTAACAAGTGTAGCCCCTGAGCGAGCATTAGTTCTAAATTATCTTGTCTTGTATCAGCTAGTTGGCATGAGATTCTAGAATCTAGGCTATATCGCCCCGTAGTAAGATGTGACGTAATTGTCATGTAATAGTAGTAGTATGCGTTTATGATGGTCGTTACGCAGGGAATAATGCCTTCCGGGAACTTCTTTTAATTAAGGATAACTGGCCCCTATTCGGGCATTACAGACGTGAAGAAAACCCGGAAGACTTCACGTGGCTAGGCGCGAACCCACCACCGAACTCCCAGTGTTCAGGGAACGGAACCGCTTGACCATTGGTAGGCCAGTTCTAAATTATGCCGTTACGGCGAACAGCGCCAATGGCGAGACTCGATTTGCGGTATTTTCCTTTCATAGTTACAAATTACGAATGCTTTATTCGTACTTTGTATTAATTAAAAATGAAAATTCTTTAACTGCTTTTATTAATTTTAATTAATTTAATAAGTGTGCTAAAACACTAAAATAATTATATACAGAATCCATAACAAAAGTAAAAATTGGAAAAAAATATCAGAAGGACTTTTGGAATCAAAAGGACTAAACCAATTTATCATTAAAAGTAAACGTGATAACAGGAGAAAGGTTTTATGAGAATTATTCTTAATTTAAAATATCAGCGCTAGAAATATATACAGTGGTGCCTCAGTGCACGAACTACTCCCAACTCGAATAATTCGATATTCGAATGCACGTTAAAAAAATACAATGCTCGATAATTGACTGCATGCTCGGCACTCGACCGAAAAATACGACCTGCTCAAACAAATATTTTTATTTTAACTTTAATTTTGTTATCCGTAAAACTTTCCCGTGATAAAAATAAGTATCTAATTTAGAAATAAAATAAAAGCTTCGTCAGAAAAAATTATTCCTAAATTTAATAGTCGTATTTTGCCATTCTGTACGGTTATTCTCAACGACATATAACTACCAGATCCCGAACCGGGCCGCCATCTTTGAAGCTTCCGCCATGACACTTAAAAGGCATAAACCTGCTGGATATACATAATACAGATATGACCGTTTATTACATAAATATACAATTGTTATCACACGATGCTTTTGCTAAACTGTGGCTTTAACTCAAACTGTCTTAGTCCTAACAAACAGTGCTAACACAGAAAACCACAGCTGTGCCCTAGCGCCTACGTCCTAACGTAAAAATCTGTTTTTCTCTGGATTGTCGAAATACCGATACTTTTTTGATATGTGGAGCAACGCTATTAAGGGAAAACTCTGTTAATTTTAGGGAAATTTCAGGTGTGTTCAGAGCGTTAACACGGTAGAAGGTTGACTACCTCTTCCTCGCAGCTATCACTTAGTGCACAATTGTGGTGAACTTCGCTGTATACGTTCTCGTTTCTCCGCGTTTTTTAAATGATTTATACATAAAAATATAATTTCTAAAAATAAAAGATCATCTTTAGATAAACGAGTAAATATAAAACACTCTTTCTTAAACCGATTTCGAGCGATTTATATTAGCAGACAAATAATAAAAGAAATAACGTTGGCTGAAGTATAGTATCTTTGTTAATTATTTGTCTTTTGATATAAATCGCTCAAAATCGGTTTAAGAAAGAATGTTTTATATTTACACGTTTATCTAAAGATAATCTTAGAAATTATATTTTTAGAAATTTTACCGATCCCATTGTTTTATATTTTAATTGATCAACAATTATAGTGATTTATGCATGCTAAACTTGTAAACTTTTTGTTAAATTCAAGTTAAAATGCTTTTATATATGCAATCCTGGAAAAAAAGTTTGAAACCATCTGGTTTTCAAACTTCCCATTAAAATTAATTGAAATCCTGTAAATATGTTGTTGTTTAAGTATTAAAATAACCATAAACAAATGTGAAGTAAAAATTTATTTTCGTATTTCAAATAAAAAAAAAATTCATATACAAGAAATTATTCCTTGCAATTTGCCTGAAAAAGTTTGAGACCACGATTAAAAAAGAAGCCACAAAAACAAAACACAGTGGGAAAAACAATGTTTAATGTGGACCGAAAAGGTGACGAGTTTTGCGGCACGGCGATGATGCTAGGCTAAATAAAGGAATTTTCGAAAAAGATATTATACGTATGTGCAAATTCACGTACGTAGTAACTACGTACTTTACCAATAGAAACCATTTCTACTTGTAGTTAAATTTTAATTAACTACAAGTAGAAATGGTCAAGTAACAATATTGGAAATTCAGTGGCTACTTTCGAATTAGTGGCATTCGCGTCGCGGCGTTTTGCAACGACACCTTGGAAAAAGGGTTATATTCTCTGTTAACACGTGGAAATTATTTGATCCTAGTGTAAAACTATAGAGGTTTTACAGAATGTCGAGTTGTCGAGAGGCGAATTTCTTGGAATTTAGTGTATCTCCAGAATCAGTTAGTGTTACTCCGCTAGATACAGTCGACCCCCCCCCTATAAAACAGTTGATTATTCCATTTTATATGAATTCTATGTTGTACGAGTCACTTAGATTTTACAAATACGCGAGCCGTTCACAGCCCGGCACACGTATTTGTAAAATCTAAGTGACTCGTACAACATGGAATTCATAAAAAACGGGAAAATCAACAGTGGGTCGACTGTACTTGTCAAATAGCCCTAATTTCTTACGTCACAAAATATAAAAATGTCTTACCTACTAGAGGTCGCCACTACATCTCGACAGCCAGGGTGCGCAGAGTAGTTCGTATCCAACTAAAAAGAAGCAGAAGCAGAAGGAAGTGGACGTCGAAAATGGCCAGAGATATTAAATGGGAGAAATTGTTTAGTTATGATACTCTAGTATACGCTGTTGCAGGTTCTGTGGTAAGTATTATCGTTTCAAAGCAATGTATTTTTTTAATTTAGATTATTTTGCCGTAATCTAAATTCTGTTTGTAGAAACATTTCCTAATTCTTAATTAGTTATGGCATATTTTGTAAATATATAATAATGAGACACTGTGATGAAATGTTTTCTCTTTTGCTTATTGGTGAAAACAAATTAAGGAGAGCCGTTTATTAAATTAATTATAATTGCAGTTGGTAATGCCAAGCAACAAAACATACTTATTTCTGAATATATTTTTACTTAAAGCGCATTAATTTTCCAGCTCTTATATAACAGGGTCTGAATCGGACAGTTGGGACCTTACCAGAGCCGTAGACTGTACCCGTAGGAGTAAAAAAAGTCAAAGGAATAATACATTAAGTGACCCTTCATGAGATATAGACCCTAAAATTGGCCTATTTCTGGGCCGTTCGTGATTGGTAGTTGTGCCATGCACATTGCTGAGACTATTGTGGTTAACTATTTAGCCAACGTGACTATGCCGGCTTTGATTAGTCCACTTGACTGTTTTTGGAGTATGTATTATATAGTTTGAGGGTGTGGGGGATTGTCCCCGCACAGGTGCTGAGATGTGAGTGATTGCAAGTGCCTAAGTGTGGAGCATTGCTCGTATGAGGGAGGTATACCATTCTGGGGTGGCGAATTCCTCGTCCAGAGTTTGCGTCTTAACATAGAAAAAGTTAATTCACATTGTGTCTATCATTAAAGTAATGAAAACACACACAAAATATTTATCATTGAAATAATCTAGATCAATAGATATATATAGGAATAAAAATAAAAAATATATCTTGCGTCTATTTGTTTATATTAAAAGATATGAAACAAAATTGTTTTAATTTGATTGATGTTATCGAAAACTTGCCTGATGGAAATTCATATGTTTTTTCAGGTTTAAAGAACATATTGCCTATTTGTGTCTTTTAATAAATATTTGGAATATTAATTAAAACAGCTATATTTTCAGTATTATTAATTTTTTACTGAGGTAAACAAAATTTAGATTTTGATAAAAATTTGTATGTTTTTTTAACATTAGTTTACTGATTAGATCATTCTGTATAAAATGTGTGTATAAGTATTTTTCCACATGTTTTTTCTCATTACCATTTCGGAAAAAGATTTTGTAAACAGTTATGTCTAGTAAAGAAAAGTCTTTTTTTATTATAACATAATTCCTTTTTTATGTGAATTTTTTTTGTGGTAGTTTTTGGCGATATCCACAAATTCTTTTGTGGATATTGCCAAAAACTACCGAGAAAAAAAAATCATGTGGCACTGGTGCCACATGATCGCCCTTGACGGATATATCCATCGGTCACTGCTGAGTGGTTAAATTTTAGAATTTTGATGTTTAGAATTTTAAAGCTAAAAAAAATTTTTTTTTAATATTTATAATATATAAGTCTCCTATTGTTTCAAAAATGAAAATAATTATAAAATTTTGATTAATTAACTAATTAAGAGCTTTTCATAAACTGGAAAATAACACTGTAAGACAAGAAGACAACCATAATAAACTCTTAGCACAAATGTTTAATGAAATTGATGGTTTTCGGCCTTGTTAATAGGCCAGCGTCTGGTCAAATAACAAACTTATATAATTTTATGTTCAAATGTTAGTATGTGTAAGCATTCTATACTTAATTGTTAGTCCAAAAATTTTAATTTTATATCAAATATTATTATACAAAATTTAGCAAGCAATATACATAAAAATTATAGCATGTTACACAAAAATATTTATAAAATAACAACAAAGGAATAAATTCAAAATTGTTTTATGTCTTAATTAATTTGTTCCAATGGTGGATAATTTATAACAGTTTCAGTATTTAAACATATTTATTTAAAATAAAAACACTTTAATATTTCACTTTAATTTATAAAATTATTAAACTATTTTTAGTTGCATTTAATGTGTTACATTATTAATGGAATTTTGAAAATTGTTTGAAAACTTACTTTTTTATGCTTAATGTGATAAATGTAAAGTGATCATTTTAGCACTAAACATATGAAAAATTGCAAGAAGTTAGTTAAAAGAGAGAATTTTATAGATTTGAATGATTTATTTAAATGATCATTTGATTATGAAAATGAACTCATCACTACAATTAATGTAATTTAAAAGAAAAATTTAATAACTAATTAATGTTTTAGCAAAAAGTAATTTATAGTAACAGCTTAGCTAGAACAAGCCAAAATGGTTCAACAAAGACTTTCACAATGACAAAATCAGAACTTTAGAGTGCCTGGAGATATTCAAAGCATCCAATAAAGGAGAATGCATTAATTTTAATGAATGCCAAGCAGCCAAACCTACAAAAACCCACAAGAAATTGACATCCAAATAGGATCAAAATAATTTTAAATTAATTTATTCTGTTATTATTTTATAAATGTTTGATGTAAAATTTAATTACATAATATTTTTGGAATCTAACATTAAGGAATAGAATGCCTACACATTCCAAAATTTGAACATAAAATTACTGGTATATAAGTTTGTGATATTTGACCTGATGCTGGTGTATTACCCAAGCTAAAAACTTTCATCAATTTAAATGTTTGTGCTAGAATTTATTATGATAGTCCTGTCTTACAATTAAATAATAAAATATAAGCAAAAAAATAATAAATTTGCTAATTATTGTTACCATACTATAAGGAACGTTAGTCAATAATCAAATTGAGAACATACAAAGCTATCTTTTCTTTTTTATCCTAATTTTTTTTACAATGAATAGTTTCAGGGCAAATGTACTTGTATTTTTATATTTATAAATGAATGACCTAAAAATATCATTAAACATTAAAAGTAAATTATTTTATGAAGATAATTTAAAAATTTCTGTATTTCACTCTGATGATTGTTTTCAATTACTACGGTTCTTGAAAATTACACTTATCTCTCTCCTTTTAGGGTAACATTTATTGTTTTTATAAATTTAACTTCAGTATTTTGTCAAATACTGAATGGGATTTTGAAAAATCATGCTAAATATACTTTTTTTATTTTGTACTAAAATTTCCTGTTATTGAATGATATATTTTTAAGGAAAAAATTAACAAAACTAACATTTACAATTAATTTCCTTAAGAATTAAATATTTGTCAATATTTAGAATAAAAATATTAATACTTTAAGCTGGTGAAGATTTTAGCCATATTGAATATAAAATTAATTTATGATAATACTAGCAAAGTTATATGTCAGACATGGCTTCTGCTTTTTATTATTATTTTTACAATTTTATTTCCACAATTTTGTGAAAATATGTTTATTAAAAAAATTCAATATTTGTTTTATATTATATTTATATTATATAACAAAATTGTGGTACAGAACTGCAGTACAGAATAAAAAAGTACAGAACTGCAGATCCCGTGCATTTTGCAAAACCTACATTTCGACTCCCACTGAACTCTTGCTTGCCCACCCCTGTTATATGGCATTGCTTTCTTGTGCAGACAGAAGTCAAGACATGCATATTTTTTCTAATGTACCATTCACAGCTGAATATGAAATGATAATCAGCCAATCAATCAAATTTTGTAAAAAAATGGACAAAATATTTAACTTGTTATCCTCAATCCCCTAAAAACATGTTTTGTGCATGCTGGTAACTTTGTATTAAGTAATTTTCCTATTTGAATGCAACCATCATGCTGGTCAGATAGAAAAGGGCCTTTTGTGGCTGGGATTGAAGTTAATTTAACCTCAGCCACAAAACTAGTAGTTGATCTCTTCTGGATGAGAGGTTAGTCCTTTAAAAGTTTCATTGCATTTGCTCAAACCCATGTTGAAATGTTTAAAGAACAAACAAACTTTATTCTTTGTACAGGACATAATTATATCTACTATATAAATTTTTCAAGATATATTTTCAATCTCCTATTTCACGTGTATTTAGAAAACTTTCATAACAAAGTTAATTTTTTTTAAATTAATATTCTAAAGGAGCAAAACATTTCAAAAGAATTTCATTAATTTTTTTCCTGCTGGTTATTTTAATCAGAGGAATATTAATTAAATAAAGGAAAGTATTAAAATATTTTTCCTTTATTTTAATTGGTACTTTTCTGATGATTTAAAAAAGATATTGACATTTGGGCTCTTGAAAGTACAGTATTCAACTACAGTAGATGCAGGCTAATTGGGACACATGGAACTAGCACACTGTCCAGTTAATAACTTCCTCAGTTATGCAAAGTTTAGTGTTAAAAAAATATAAAAAATAAGTTACTGTTTTTTGACCAACAAGATAAAAAATTCTGGAATGAATGGTACAGATTAGAAAGATATTTATGCTAAAAATAATTTTAATTCAATATATATTTCTTTAATAATAAACGACGCTTTTAACCCACGACTATAAATTAGATAGAGTTAGATAACCTAATAAATAGGATTTAACAATTTCGAGGGCTTATCATACCAAGGCTGATAGAAAGAAGGACCAGAACTTTTACAGAAAAGTTAGTCTTTAATAATCACATTTCAAATTTAAGTAAGGATGCATTTCGGGTACAAGGACCCTTCATCAGCTTACGAACACATGTCAACAACATAATAATTATAACACCAATAGTTAACCAATACAAAGGAATATCTAATATATGCAGTGCACTGTATTTACAATTTTTAATGTAACCCATATGCTAAAAAAATTTAAAACTATTGAGCACAAGATTTTAATATCAATACAATGACAATGTAATATCACATATTATTTGGGACCAATAAATGCTTTATTTTCTCCTACATTTTGTAAAAGTTCTGGTCCTCCTTTCTGTCGGCCTTGGTGTGATAAACCCTCCAAATTGTTAAATCCTATTTATTAGGTTATCTAACTATATCTAGTATATATTTCTTTATTGCACTTTAAAGATTAAACACACTACTTAAAACATTTGTTACAATTGCTTAAAGGATTTAGTTTACCAATTTTCTGCAATATAATGTCTTTAA